AAGAATGGAGCCCTGGGGGACATCTGCATTAGTACAAAAGGATGTAGACAAGCGGCCATTCAGGATAACTTTCATTTCACAATTTGATAGGAAAGATAGTTGATAGTTCAAAAATGTGTCTGGAGACACCATAACTTTTCAGCTTGTGGAGAAGACCCGTTTGTTAAACCTTGTCAAAGGCTTTCAAGATGTCCAAACCTACAGCCCAGGCTTCACTGTTTTTATCTAGAGCATGATAGACTTTCTGCAATTATTGCCAGTACATCAGCAGTTGACCTGGAGAAACAAAAGCCATATCACTTATCTGAGAAAAGGCCCTGCAATGAGAGATGCTGAATCAATTCTGCCTTGATTAGGGCCTCTAGGAGTTTCCCCAGAAAGAGGTAGAAAACTAATAAGCTGATAATTGGAAGGGTCAGACTGGTCACCAGTTTCTTAGAAATTGGAACAACAGACAAGGACTTCCAGCAGGCAGTAGCAAGGCATTTATTATATCTTATAGAGAGAACAGGGGCCAATTCAGGAGCACACTTTTTGACTATTACAGGGATACTATCAGATTCACATGCTTTGTGGGGATCTAGGTTAGAGATGATAGCAGAAACCATGGAAGGGATTATATGCATATCACTCAAAGATTCAGTTCTATGTGGGAAGTTAGCCAGGAATACTCCAAATGAGTCAAGGGTATAGTTTGTGGAGAATTTACGAGCAAAGCATTCAGCTTTATCAGTAGATGATAACAGCTCAAATCTATTGAAAAGGGAAGGAATAGAGATCTTACACTTATTTAATACCCCATTACAGAGCCGCCAGTAATCACAAGAACCAAATTTGTTGAAGGCTATGTGGTGTCTCATTTTCTCAGCAAACAGGGACGTGGCTCCTTCAAATAAGCACTTGTTGTGATGAGACCTGTCACACTGGTATAGCCGAAAATAGTGGTTCCTGTGTGCTATAGTAGCCAAGCATGCTGGTATGAACCATGGAGAAGATTGAGGATTCACCTGGTATTTCTGAAAAAGGATGAAAGCATCCATGCCTGCTTTGACCCAGGAAGAAACCTCAGTGATGCAATTTTCAATTGGGAGGTTAAAGATGTCAGTCCAAGGGGCGTCACAAAGAAAATAACAGAGTGAGTCCCAATCAGCATGTTGGTAAAAGAAAGAGGGCTTATGGATGGAGGGTTCCTGTTTAATGGACGATTGGAACAAAATATCAACAGATACCACAGAGTGGTCAGAGTTACCAAGAGGGCAGTGTTGCGACGCCTGGCAAGAGCCAGGAGAGGAGGTGAGAAATAAATCAAGATACCTATGGCTCGGTTTTCCTAGGGAAATGAGTAGTGAAGTTGACAATTTGAGTGAGGGATTGGACAATGGAAAAATTTAATGTCTGAATACCAACAATATCAGTACTTTTTAGAATGTCTTTGGGGACTTTAATGCTCACCATGACACATGGCTGAAACAAAGATGCTCACAGATGGAGAGTAAGTCCCTTTTCTATGTCAGCTATTATGTCTAATACACTGTAGTCCTGAGAGGAGGGGGAGCAATAAAAGAAAAAGAGATAGCTAACAGAAAGCTGGAAGCACAAGAAAGAATAGTCATGAGCCTCAAGAGACAATTCCCTGACCACCGGAAGATTATCCCGGATGTAGACACCAAAGCCATGCATGTGAATATTGGAATCTTTTCAGCAGAGGGAAAGAGCCTGGAACCAAGAATTCATTGCTAGCAATGGAAGAATCTAAGTTGGTTTTACAAAAGGCAAAGATATCAAGTGACCATTCAGAGAGAAAAGATTCTATGCTGCAGAAGTTGGAACAGATACCCTGAATATTGGAAAAAGAATGTTGGGGGGTGGGGGCTTTTTGTTTATTGGTTTAGTTGTATTTCTTTTTGTTGTGTTTTTTAATGAGATTCATTTTAAGAACAGAGAACGAATACCACTATAATTGTCACCATCTTTCGTCAATGGCAATACAAACCAACCAGACCAGGGTAAGGCTGAGAACAGAGGGATCAATTCCATAATTCATCTATACAAAGAAACTGGAGTAATATTCAAAATTGAATAATTTAAACAGCATGTAAAATTTCAGAAGCATGTGAATAAAATAGCTACAGAAAAAAAGAGACTAAGCAATAAAATAAAATCCAGAAAAAGCAGCAAAACATCTAAAATAGCATTAGATTTTTTGCAGACGTAGTAGAAAACAAATCACATGCTACAATGAGAGAATTATCAACAGATAGCTACTGGTTTGATTAAAGGAAAAAAGGAAAAAAAGGACTATACTTGAAAAGTAAAACATATTTTCCAATATGTTGTATTTGTAATCAAGGAGTTAAAAAAAAGTCTGCTTGTCTTCAAAGCTATTCCCTTTTCATTCAAAGAGAAAAAAAGCAAAGCGGCTATAGATCAAAAGGTTCACCGATAACTGAAAAGTGAAACTACATGCCATCTTCTACGAGTCAATATTCTTGTATTTCTTTTTCTCCTGTGTAAACTATGACACATCACAATTTATGACCATTTCGTTGGACATTTTTTCAAATAAGACGGTTTATTTATTACTAAGAGTTAAAAAATATACATCCACAAAAATTTACAATTTTTTTTCATATAACTTTTTTTTCTTTTTTAAAAAAAAAAAAAAAACTTCATAAAACTGTTGTAAAAATACAATGTAAATGATATAAAATTGTAGTTTCACATTTTACAAGTTTTTAACTTTAACAGAACTATTAGTTTAATTAATAATTCAATTGTGACTCAATGGCTAATAATTACTAACGCCACTGTAAGACTTACATTTATTTTTGAAACTGAAGAAAACAAAAAACACACACTTCAAAACAAAACACAGCAAACAATAGATTTTTTTAGCTAAATTACATTTATTTAATTTTAATTAAATTGAAATTAAAAATCGCTATATTTATTTCCTTTTGGAAAAAGCTTTATAAAAATCTCAACAAATCTTAGTGCCAATTTTAGAGGCTTTCATTTTTTAAAAGTGATTTGAATATTGACCAATGTTTTTTTAACTTATAGAAAAAAAAAAAGGAGAAAAGTAAACCCTTCTGCTACAATTTTAGTAAATAACTATCACCTGAATAATTACTAACATTTTTTTTTTTTTATATTCAATCGGCACGACTAAAAAGATAAAAAAAATTTGAATATGTAAAAAAACAAATGTCAGAGAGTGTGACGGCATATTTTATTTATTATGTCTTCCAAACCAAAATTATTAGTTATTTTTTTTATACGAGTAAATATTTTTCAATTATTTTTCTATTGTGCATTTCCCTTTTCAAGCTTTGTAAACATTTCAATGAAAATGTATTATAAAAAAAATATTTTCCAAACGTACCACTTTTTAAAAAAAAGTTATGAAAATGAGAAAACATCAGAGTATAAAAATTTATTTTGCTTTTTTCAATCAAACACAAACATATTTGTTTTTTGTTTTAAGTTTCAAATTTCAAACTCAACAATGTAATCGATTTTCTTGCAATACATTTTTCTTTAGAAATAACTGTTTTTTTTTTTTTTTTTGTTTTTATTTTAATTGATCGGGATTATTATGGACTTCATGACAAAAGTCATTTTTATGACGGAACCTTTGATTGAAACGTTAAAGTAAAAGAAAAAAAAATTTTTTTTTTTTTTTTTAAGCGTAGATACTTAAAAAATAATGGGATTGATCATGAATTTGTATCAGTTATCCTGGATTAATGTGCAGATATTTAGAAAAATTATCAGTATTTTTAACATAACAATGGATTCAAAAAGGATTAGTGAAAGAAAAAAGTCAAAGTGGATTATTGTTGACAATTTGTACAAAAATACTAAAAATTTTATTAACACCAGTAACAAACATTTTTTAGATAAACGTTTAAATCGGAAAAATCATTTAATAATTATCGATAAAATAAATAACATTTGAATGAAGTAATAACACTGCCCATGCATTTTTTTTTTTTTCAAGTTTTAAACTTAGAAACACATTCATGATTCAATCCTGAACACTGAGTTCCTCACCCCAGCAATCGAGAAACAAGTGGGACAGGGTTTTTTTATTTTATTTTTTAGTGCATTTATCAACCTGCAACAAAAGAAAAACACTAATACTTGCCCAAACATTTTATGAGAAACCCACACCTGACACCAAAAGAAAAAGAAACATGATAAAAAAAATGAACAAAAGAATGTGAATCTATGTGGCCAATATTTGATTACTTTTTTTTAAGTAGTACCCCTGGACGCAAAAAGAAACAAGGTATTTTTTAATCAAAATTTAGAATGTTCTAAAAAGGATGGAAAATTTTAAAAAAAATACTTTGTTCCTTCCTCTTAAATAGTAACATAAACCTTTTGATGATAAAAATTTTCATCAAGTTTGGGGTCTTTTTCATGCTCCATTTTCAGCGAAACACTAAACAGTAGTAAAGGATCCTAACTTATTGTTTATTTTTCTCTCTAAATAAAATAATTTAATAATGTTATTCATCAATCTCCCTTCTTTGTTCAATTCTCCATTCGTGACATGATTTTATTTAAAATAATTTCTATTCAATCAAAAATAAAATAAAGACTAAAGTACAAGTGTTAGTAACTGAAAAATGAAAATTTAGGTAGTGTTTTTTTTTTGTCGGTGTCCTGTTTTTATTTTTTTGTTTTGTTATTTACACAAATTTCACCTAAAACTTTTAAATTTCTTATGTTAAAAAAAAAAATACTGTAATAAAAATAATGATAAAAACACAATAAAAAAAATAATGATCCGTGAATCGAAAGAGAATTATAAATTCACAAAATTTAATAAAGAAAAAAAATGGATCGATCTAAAAAGAAAACGAATAAAAAATATCTTCATTAAAAAAAAAAAATATGTCCAATGAATTTCACCTCCTTAAAAAAGTCAGGTAAAACAGCAAATTTTTTTAATAAAAAATATTATAGAGAAAAAAAATCCAGGTACGTACCTCTGTTTGGGATGGGTGGTACTGAACCAGTTTTATTGACAGGAATGATTACTGAGGGGACCGACATAGAAAGGTCCAGGGTGGCCCCTAACAGCAAGAGGACTTGTAGAACATGATAGGGGTACCGGTACCCGAATGATGAAAATGAAGACAGGGAGAAACGGTAACAAGAAAAATCACGTCTCGACAGAATGGACATGACACGGCCGGAGTGAAATAGTTTTTACACAGGTGTTAAAAATGTTGTTTTGTTTTCTAATTAATCAATCAATATAGGTTTTTAAAAAGGCTGATAAGCTATCGGCCAAGTACGAACAAAGTAGATATAAAATAAAAATAGGTTCTAGAATTTGTTATTGATAAGAAGAGGGCAATTAAAAGCCGTCAAATCATGAATATGAACAAAATTCCGGTACTTACTCCATGTAAAAAGCGGTAAATTTGCAGCTGATAGTGTGTGTGTGTGTGTGTGTGTTTTTTAAGGTTCCATTCCAAGAACCGGTTGGCGATGCAGATTTCAGAAGACTAAAACAAAAATCTTAGGTAGAAGAGATGTGAAAGGATTCTTTAAAAAAAAAAAAAGACTCATTTAGAGAGTAATCCGGGATTAAAATATCAACCGTGGATAGTTGTGAACGAATGAAATTGAAGAGTAATAATGGCTTTTTAGAAGCAGCAAGACAATAAAAATGAAGAACGAGAGAAGATAATACCTCCGACGTGCAACGATATCTTTTTCCCTCTGCGACGACTACTGGCCGCTGCTGTTATTTATTTACTGTTTACGATGGTTTTTGTGTCGTAAAAAAAAAAGCAACGTTTCATATAACAAGCACCAAAAATAATAACGATCACCTCCTTTTCTCCTGCCCAGCTTCCTACGATTTTGTTCTTTCTTTCACTGGTTATTAATTATTACGAGAACTACAACCGATGGTCTGGAAAAGGGTCCTTTTCTTCCGGGTATTCCTACAGCAGCAGTCATGACGTCAGCAGAAGCAACACCAGCTGTAGTCGTAGTAATAGTAGTAATAGAATTGGCATAGGACACAATGTGATAATAGCAATAAAGATGAGGACAATAGTCTGCATGTAAATAATAAACACCTCATACCAGAAATTCAGAGAGAAAAAACAACAGGCGGAGCCAGAATTTAAACATGGCTCAATAATTCCACTTTCCACACAGATAATCATTAGATTATCCAGGCTCACAGCCACATCACACTGAAACACCGGGTTCCCATATGATGACTGAAGTTAAGCAACATTGAACCTGGTCAATACCTTGATGGGTGACCAACTTAAATTTAAGTTTATAGTTCAAGGCTAGATACAGGGCAGCTATTAATGGTCACACTCACTATAGAAGAAATTGTTTGCAAAACTAGCTTTTGGCAGTATGATATTTACACCAGGAAATATCAAACATCTGAATGGAATCTAATGTCCATCATTTGAATGTCTATTGGGACTCAAATTCTCCCCAGATTTCAAGTGGAACTCATATATACCATCCATCATTAAAGAGGCTGAAAAAACGGTTGCTTCCTTGTGCCACTTCAGAATGTATCTGACTCCTCATTCCATGCTCTATATTTACAAGAGTCAGATTACACCAAAAACAAAATAAGGCTGCCATGTCTGGGTTGATACTGTCCAATCCTCACTTCCCAGCTATGACAAAGTTCAAAAGCATTTACATGCTCTTGTAGGCATTGAATTATCTTCCATTCTACAACCCCATTCCCACAGACAAAACATCACAAGCCTCTCATTATTTCCATAGCAAATGTCCTGATAAGCTACAATCCTTAGTTCCACCAGTTCAGACCTTTACAGCTAAAACCCACCATGCTACATTTACTGAGTTGAATCATTATTCCCTTCGTATTCTATTGGTAAGAAGGAACAGTTTCTTCCCATTACTTCCTGAACTGTTACTTTGGGAAACAGACTCCCAAGTGGATGCTTCCCCAATCACTACAATCTTCAAGTTAACTTTATTTACTTTCAACAACTTCATTTAGAATATTGTATTAACAATTTTTTAGAGATAATGATTTTCAGATACATTCTACTATTTAACCCAAATCCTGGAGAGAGAAGAGATGGTTTCATAACTTCCCCAAGGATATTTGCACATAAGTGAATGTAAAAAAGCCAACTGGAATTCAAGCTCAGCTCTCCAATATAACATTCCGAGCCCCTATCAATTACACCACCTGTACATCCACTATGAGTAAGATAGTAGGATAGCTCTAAATTTGAAGAGGTTAAGATTATAGTGATCAAGGAAGCATCCTCTCGGGAGTCTGTTTCACAAAGTGACAGTTTTGGGAGGAATATGAAGGGGATGTTGATGAATTAACTCTGTGATGCATGTAATAAATGATTCAAGACAACAATGAAACTCCATATGTGGATCAACAAACACATATATATTGAAATATAACATACAAAACAATCATGCAATGAAGTGTAATGATTAAGGAAAAAAAGTTGTTCCCCTTCAACTGTATTCTGATTTATGATTGAATGTTCGAAAGAGTTTCTCTTGAATAAGAATGTTCAGGATTCTATGTTGAATAGAGTTTGCTGTTAGAATAGATTACAGTTAATTAAGAAATGTGTTGTTTAGAGAAATTAATAGAGTGCTGGTTCATGAACTTGGCTGAGTCACAGAGAGAGATATGTATAATGTGTTAAAAAAATCTGTGTCTGTTTATGCATTTGAAATGTTGTGAGTAAAGTCGTAGATTTGTGTGGACAGATGAAAATAGCTGGACCTTACTGGCGACTTACGAGAAAGTCAGTAAGAGTTGTTGGCAATGTTCTTTAACGTCTGACTGCACGGTTAAGACGGGAGCTCTTGAAGATTACATCTTGGCGGCTAGGAAAAAGATGAATGAAGAGAAACACAAGAGGGGCTTATTCGTGTTTTGTTTATATAAGGTTGTGTCTCACATGACAGGCTCCAGCCTTGTGCACGGGAAAATTATTCCTCACGTGCAGGCGATTTGATTGGTAGGAATTGACCAATCAGCAAGCTAGTTTCATTAGATTAGCCAATGAATGCTTGCCATATGATCTGTATGTGTGTGTGATGGTGATGATGATCACTAAAACTCCGTGATATGGTGAGTTCTAGCTGTGAAGGTCTAAACTGGTGGAAATAAAAAATATAGCTTGTCTGAACATTTGCCATGGAAATGGCAAAAGAATAGTAAGATGGAAAAGGAGTTGCAGAGTAAAAATAATTCATCACCAAAAAGGCTGCATGCTTACTGTGTCAAGATGGGCATGGGATCAACAGATTTGAAAATGAATCTACAAATAGTTACATGTCAATTTGTCAACCCATGCATTTGAATCCTTGCACAAACCCAAACTGAATGTGCCACACAAATAGTGTACACATTGCATTAATCTATTTTTTATGCTCCACACTTCAATTTTCAAAGTTATACATACATCTATTTCTTCTTTGCCCCCAGTTATGGATTAAATATTAGGGCTTTTTCTCCTTGATTGGTAAGTCTAGAAGGAAAACTATGAATTCAAAAGTAATTGTGTGTGGGGATGGCAACTCCACCCCGTAAAAACCCTACTTGCTATGTAAACCAAACCAGTAACATTAGCCTGGTGAAGCTATGGCCCTAGCATGGTGAAACTGTGGCCCTATACTCTACATAAGGATGTGTTGTTTTGCCAATATGAGTAATTTTGAATTACTGATGTGCTTCTATAGCCTTGTCAGTAAGGCACTATGCATGTAAGACAGGCTTCCAAAGTGACAAACATTAGTTCACATCTTGTTAGAGGCTAATACTTTATTTATTATCCATGTTACTTATGTCATAGAAGCCATAAAAGAAAAACAGATATCATAATAGAAAGTAACAAAAAATAAGATGAAAGAAAAACTAGTCAACAATTAATAATGACTTACAAAGGTTTATCTCAAATATTCAAACACTATTGGGTTGCCTAAAAATGTTTGTTAATATTTGCTTGTTTGTTTTTTAATATTGCATTGCATGTTGTCTCTGGGTTCTAGTGGTCTATTGGCAATTCCTCAGTAGAGACCCCAAAGCTAAGCCAACCACAAAATTCTTATGGGTTTTTTTAACTCACATTATTACCAGATGAACATAGTAGACTGGTAGCTGTTACAATACAAACAAAAGTGAACTTTTTAACTGAAGTTAACTAAAACTAAACACTCCTAGTGACATTTGATAATAAAACAGGAGAAATCTTTTAACTAATTCAATACAAACTGATTAAAAAGACAGATCTATCTTTGTGCAATCATGTCACTTGGCATGCCAACATGCTGTGCTGAGTCAATCCCTTGTTCTTCTCCTCTCTCTATTATAAAATAACATAAGACATATCTCGGCTGATTTACAGGCAAATACTCAAGAGCGAGAGCTGGATGTGAACGGGACAAAGCCCCGTCATAAAATGACCATTATCTTCGTTTACAAATGTTCCCGACATACGAGTTCCGGTCAAAAAATAAAATAATAATTAAAGTGTTCTATTTTTCGTCCAATAAAAATACTTCCTTCCTAATTATACTCGCTTCTTTTTCGAGCCTGTTAAGCCATAAAAAAACGCTATAAAAGGGGTCACACGGAAGTTCAACAGGCAGTCCACAGGTGGCCAGGGGAGAGACCTGTCACAGTAAGCAGCTGTCAGCAAGGGAGCGTCAACCACCGTCAACATGTGTGAACTACTATGAGAGATCAACCTAGATCCGAAGCTGGCTTATGAACTATACCACAAGGTAGCTGTCCCAAACCCTCTAGTTCCTGTTGAAATAAACCACGTAAATCTATTTCTGCTGTTGTCGTATTTCTTTCTTGCAACCATACGCTTGTCTATAACATCTCCAATACGCTACTCCCAAAGGAGGTGAATCCCCTAACTTCTCACAAACTTGATTTACTCTTAAATTTATTACTGTCTAAAAAATGGAAAATATTTTAATTTTGCATCTATCATTTTTTTTTCAGGATGTGGAGAAAACCGTCCCTTTGCCAATGTCTGCTTGCTCCATTAGACAGCAAACAACAGGTGTCATATGCTTCATGGCTAAAGTAGTCACATATTTTCTTTCTGAATTTCAAATGATGATTTTCAAAGCAAGCAAGTCAGCCCTCCCCCACTTACCTGAGTATTGAGTAATAC